TTATTTCAATAGGGACATAATTCCAGAAATGATTTGTATAGATGCTTAAAACTATAAAGAACCTTTATAGGTAGTTTATTTTATTTCTTAATATAGAAATAAAAATTTTTAATAATAAGGGACATTTGAATTATATCCTTACAAATAATTTAGGGATCCATCTTTAATTATGGCTAGCCAATATTTATAACTGTCATCTCAATATAATTACTATGGATCTAAGGGATAAAAAATTTTTATTTTTCTAAAATAAAAAGGAGAAAGATTAAAGAAAAAAAAAAAGTTTGTTCTGATAAATAAAAATTTATTTAAATCAATTACTAGTCTAATGATAATCTTCTTTGAAAAAAGAAATTAGTAGAGAGAAAGACTTCAAGCCACTTTTTGCAAGAGAACATTTTGATATCTTATTTTTTTATCATATCTAATTATATTATTGATTTTAATATAGTATAATATAAAACACATAAGGAGTATATATTTTGTTTATATTTTTTTTATATATCAATCAATTCAAGATTTTAATCAATTATCAATCAGGATTCTGATATAATAAAAAATTTAGAGTCAAACTAAAATAGGCAAAATTCTTTAGAAAAACTCAAAAAATTTTGATATACTTAAAAGTATTATTACAATTATATAGTATATGATTGATAAAAAAAAATTATATATCTAAATAGACTTCTTACTAGCTTATCCATCTGTTTTAGATATCAGGTATTTATTTATAGTGGACTCAAGGTTCTTATAGTACTTGAGAAATATATTTATTAATAGCTTGCTTTTTAAAGTTTCAGATTTAAAAAGAATATAGTAAAAATATTTTTTGATAAGTTTTTTTTTTTTAGTAAAATGTTCTTATTATAAATCAAATGGATAAAGTTTTATTTATTTTATTATTAAAATATATATAGTTTTTGAAGTAGAAAAGATAAACAAATGGAAGAGGCAATAGCCTTTAGGAAATAAGATTTTTAAAGAATGTATATAGATTTTATTATCAAAAATAAAAATATTTTTAAGAAAGTCTATTTTTTGAATTGACAAAGGAACCAGCAAAAAGAGTTATTATCTTTGGATTAATGTTTTTTAATATAATTTAATAAATAATTATTTAATTTAGATAAAACTTTAAATATATATTTTTTATAATCTAATAATAAAAATATTTAATTTTTATTAATAGTTAATTAATAGTTTTATTATAAAAATATTGTTTTAAATAAAAAAAAAAGTAAAAAATTATTGACATGATTTTTATATATAAATTTATATATAAATTATAGTTGAAAACTATGATTTTTTAAATAAAATATTTTTAAAAAATAAATTAAAATCAAAAAAAATAATTTTGAATTTATAAAAAAATTATAAAAAAATTATTTTATAATTCTATTAATATTTGTTTAATAAATTATATATTAATTAACTTTAATAATAATTTTTTTATTTTTAATATTTGATTTGTAGTTAATTATTTAAAAAATTTTATCAATAATTTTTTACTTTTTTTATTTTATTTAAAACAATATTTTTATAATAAAACTATTAATTAATTATTAATAAAAATTGAATATTTTTATTATTAGATTATAAAAAATATATTTAAAGTTTTATTTAAGTTAAATAATTATTTATTAAATTATATTAAAAAATATTAATTCAAAAACTTTTGTGCCAAACTGTATATTATAATTTAATTTAATCTAATAAAAATTCAAGTAATCAATAATCAATAATTAAGTATTATATTTTTTTAAAAGTTAATATAACTTTTGATATATAAAATAAATTATTTATTTATAAACAAAAACTAATTATTATCTAAAGTTAAAATATAAAATTAGAAACTTTATATAAAGAAATTATGCCAATATATAATTTTAAATGTTATTGTTTAAACAAAATGTTTAAATTTATTTAGATCTTCAATAAGATTTTTATTTGGCAATTGATTTTTAATACTTAAAAAGTTTAATTATTAATTTAATTACAAAAAAAAATTTTTTAAAAAATATTCTTATTATAATATTATATTACTAGAATTTGGCTTTTATTTTAATATGCTTTCTAATTAATCCTGACGTAATATTTTTAATAATAAATAAATATACAATTTTAAAAAGTTTTGCAGTATACTGTATTTGTATTATTATTTATATTTTTTGTTTTATTGCAATTATTTGGTTATGCCAATTTTTTAAAAGCTACAATAATTATACGAAACATTTTTAAATTTTTATATTTCAATATAATGAATTTACAATTAACAATAAATAAAAATTTTATGCTTTATTAGATAAAAAAAAAATTTTCGGTTTTCGAAAAAATTAATTTATTTGTACCATATTATTTTTAAAAACAAATGTTCCTGCTGATGTATACGAATTTTTATTTACACATGGAAAAATTATTTGTAATATCTAAATGATGATACTGAAATTATTTTATGTTTAAGATTAATAACATAAAAATCGATCAAGTAAAAAAAAATAATCATAAACTTTTCATTAATTAATTAATCAAATAAAATTTTATCGATTTATTTTATTATTATAACATATTCGAAATTTTTTTAATGTTTTTAACTACGATGATCATACGTTACAGATGGGAATAATAGTTACGCATCCACTGGTTTTAGTTTCGGTGATTTGAATGTCCTTCATGGCTTGAAAAACGTAAATTCGACTTATTAAATTACAGTATTTACTTATTGAATGAAAATCATAGGAATATCGAAAATGTATTGATGACTAAATATAGTTATTATTGAACGGGTTTAGAACTCGTTCCGATCTGATTTTAAAAAAAAGACTACAAACCTTTCCTTTTCTCTTAAAAAATTAGCGTATATGACACAAACGTTCAAATCCGAGGTGTAGAATGAGTGATAAACATCAGAAGGTAAAATGTCATCCAAACATGAAAAACGAATGACTCGTAAGACTATTTTAATTTATTTCCGACACTAAGGTTCGCAGCTAAACACGACCTCAACCTATCTCATACGTATACAGATCAGTATGGAACTGTGTTCTGGTAATAAAGTTAGATTCTTTGGTTATATAGAACAAAGGTTTTTTGTTGCTAGAATTTTTATTGATAACATGCGTGCTTGGATTACACAAAATCATTGTGAGATCTGGTATATGGTAACGTTGGCTTATCCTTGGGTCACCAATGGTTCCAATTCACTTAGGAATGAGGTTTGATTAATTGCAGGCCTGGATAGTTTATTTCACGCGATCGACCAGTATTATTTTTACACGTCCCCCGACGATTCGTGTAACCCTATAAAAAATATAAAAGAGATGAAAATTCGAACATCGAACTTTCAAAGACTTTTCGATAAAGTCCATTTATAGTAATACATCATTAAAGGAAAAGAAAGTTTACTAGTACATTTGATGTGAATGATCTTAAGTTTTAGAACATAAATAAAAATGTCGACCAAAGCTCGAAATTTGGTTCACCTCCTCGTCTTACTAGTATTTTCCACTCTCGTCTTCACCTTCGAATTGGATTTCGATGATCTAGATTTGGAGTTTTCCGATGGAAACATGTTAAAACCATCGAACAATAAACTAATGGCCATCAAGGCCTCGAATAATTCCTTGCTTTGGGGAACTTACCGACCCAATTTATATTTCGGTATTAGACCAAGGTTGCCTGAAAGTTTGATGACAGGTTTACTATGGTTTGGAGCGGATGATTATAAAGGTTTCTGGCGTAAGTGTTCTAATTTTTTGAAAGAAAGACAAATCCACGGTCTAGAATTCCATGATTCGTATTCGTTATAATGATTTTTGCGTTTTCACAGAAATGAGGCACGCATGTGATCAATCGGATGAGCTGGACGAATATAGTTACAAAAAGCATGATGGTCGTTCTTTTGCCATGCAGACGATTACCGACATAAAAAATAATCTTGTGTTAAAGACTGAATTCTTGAAAGCTCCTGGTGGTGAAAATGGTAATGTTATTTACGATCTGTTAATTGTAGAATAGAAAGGGTTTACCGAATGCGTTCACATCAACAAGGATTTAATTACACCTTATAGGTAATATATGTTAATTTAGAATAACGTATAGTATTATTTATTACATGATCGCGTCCTAACCAGACCGAAAACCTCTAGGGTATCTTTAATAATTACATTTCATTAACAATAGGCGGAGATTGGGCTGTTCGTATCACTGGAGAGCCAATTGTAGATGGTAATTTTTTTTATTGTCGGAGAGATGACCAACAGATCAATGCTTACTATGACCTGCACATTTCAACAGAGGTTTCTTCAGCAATATCATTTTTATATTATTTTGGGTTAGAAGGAGAAGGATCTTTGGATTTGTTGAATGATCCGGATAAATCGGTAACTTCATCCTAGATGTTTAAGTGAGGAGTTTGTGATATCAACAGCCGAAATAAAACGCGATAATTGCGTTTAATAGGGATTAAAGGGTCCGGTTGAACTGAGTGGAGAAACTCCCGAACTCGGAAAATTTCGTATTCGAGTAGTAGAAGGTTTGTTTTTGAAAATTATTTTTTCTGATGTGATATTTAATCAATTTTAATGATTATTTGTTAGTAATATTAATAACGATACGATATTATCATTATTGATATGGATTTGTTATTATTTAATTTAGATTCACTTAATAGGATGCCAAGGATTATAACATCCACTGATTTAAACAAATACCCAAATGATTTAAAAAAATTCCAGTACTGGGGACACTTGGTACCCGACGGTGAAGTCTGGCGAGCCAAAGGTAGCCTTTTTATTACAACTCAAACCAACATTAATGTCTTTTTATATGTGGTTTCATCAATCCGTTTTTGATCTTATTTTCTTATAATGTGACATTAAATCACAAGATTATTTAAATGGCATGTTCACAACGAAACTAAGTAATTTTCAGCCACAAAATGATGCCTATCCACCGCCACCGTTCTTGTTCGCGTTGAATAATGAAGTGGGCGAGAATTCAAATTTCTTTGTCATTCAGAAGATGGTCGACACTCCTTTTCAGGTCATTTTCTTTTCACCTTCATATATTTTGCTCGTCTCTCGGATTGAAAAATGTTGGATGCTTTCCTTTATGATTTTCTCTCTTTTGGGTTTTCTATTAATCTACTTTGTTGTCTTTCTTAGTTTGATATATTTTTTGAATCCGATTCATCGCCTGCACACATTGACGGTATGCATAAAACCATTAAACAATATCGGTTTCTTTGTGATTTAATGACAATGCCATACATTCTCCTGGATTTTCAGATTTATCCAACCTTTTAAAAACAAGTTCGCGGGATTTTGATGCAAGATTCGAAAGAACATTTGGACTTTCGGAAAAGGGATTTGAAAAAGATCATATATATTTTGCTCAGGCCATGATGAGCAATTTGATCGGTGGTATTGGGTAAGATTAATTTTCATTTATCTTATTCGCTAATTTATCTCTTCACCTAATCAATATCTTTTTTTTTTTAGATATTTTTATGGATCAAGTATTGTAGACAAATCTTATGTGGATGATGTTGACAAGGACGAACAAAATCTTGAGGACAAGAGAGAAGCTGATCCACAGCTAACCCCTCCGGCGTCGTTATTTACAGCAACACCGTCACGACCGTTTTTTCCGAGAGGATTTTACTGGTGAATTTCATTTCACAAGTTATACGAATCTTGTATTTTTTTTTTCTTGTTCTATTCGTGTGATAATAATAATTAGTGATGTAGGGACGAAGGATTTCATCAACTATTAATTGGATCATGGGATAACGATCTGAGGTATTACTTAATTGAAACTTTTAATATTCGGATTCTTGATTCTTGATTCAATAATTGATTTTCTTACACAATATAATATTATAGCTTGGAAATTATCAAGAATTGGGTATCACTCATAGACGACAATGGCTGGGTGGCTCGCGAGCAAATCTTGGGTGAAGAGGCCAGGAGCAAAGTGCGTGTAACAACTGCTATATGTGATACCTTCATAAATAGACCGATCTTTCTAACTCAGCCTTTTACTTATATTTACAGGTTCCGCAAGAATTTCAGACACAATATCCTCATTATGCGAATCCCCCTATGATATTAATGGCCATTTGCTCATTTATTGAGCGGTTGAATAATGTCACCAGTTTTACTCAATTTAATGTTGAAGGTTATTGCGTGAAAAGTTTATTTTTGATATTTTTTGATATATAAAGCGAATATGTTTTCTCTCGTACTAAATCATCTTTATAATGTTATAGTCAACCAAGATCAGATAGCCCTCGGTCAACTATCCTCCACTACTGATCCCGAAATTCTACCGAATCGTCATCTGCATGATCCTGAACTTGCAAAAGGTTATCTTGCAGAAATTTACCCCAAATTGCGCGCTAATTATAAATGGTTTAGGAGAACCCAATGGGGTGAGATTAAAGAGTGGGGACGAAAGGCAACCAGCAAGGAGGCTTATAGATGGCGCGGTAGAACGCCCGGACATACATTGACTTCCGGTAAGCACCTTTTACTGAGATTGGATTCGAACTATGACCGATTTGACATTGTCAATGACTCATTCCCAAAAATTTACAAATGCGACAAGGACTTGACGATTACCCTAGACCCAGTCCACATCCTGCCGAGTTACACGTGGATCTGATGTGCTGGGTTGGATTCATGGCAAGATCTCTTATGAGAGTTGCCGAAAAATTGGGTAAAGACGATGACATTGAAGATTTTACCAAACAGTATAAAAACATATTGGCTAATCTTGACGGTAGGCTTACTGTCCAATGGGAAACCTTTTGGTTTAACTAGATATTAAATAACTTTATTTACAGATCTACATTGGAGTGAGGAACATAAAGCATACTGTGATGTTTCTGTTGACGAAAACGAGGAATCTGTTCATGTGTGTCACAAAGGATATCTCTCCCTGTTTCCGATGCTGCTTGGTTTTTTACCAAATAATTCAACAAAGCTTGGAGCAATATTGGACATGATGCATAATCCTGATGAGTTATGGTCACCGTATCCTTAAATGGATTTTTCCTTTATATATAGTATAAATATTAGCTATGTATATTTAATCCGTGACTCTAAATTTACAATTATTGACATGCACCTATTCTAGATATGGATTAAGATCACTATCAAAATTAGATGAATATTATAACACAGGAGAAAACTATTGGGTGGGACCAGTTTGGATCAACATCAATTATCTCGCGTTGTCCTCTTTGTATACGGTATTGTTTCACTTGGATTTGTGTTAGCTGGTTGATTCAACAAATACCTTTAACCATTGATTTTTCTTATTCAACAGAATTACGCATCAAAACCTGGTCCATATCAATCCAAAGCAAAGACCATATACAAAGAGTTGCGAAATAATATAATAAATAATGTTTATAATGTAAGTCGCGATCGTTTTGGTTTCTTTCACTGAGAGAAAACCAATGTCTCATGTATTTTACTTTTTTTTTACTTTACAAGGAATTTAAAAAGTCTGGATATGTGTGGGAGCAGTACTCCTCTATAAATGGAGAAGGAAAAAGAAGGTGCGTTGATAATATTAAAAAAAAAAGCACTAATTTACATGCACCAATTGCTAAATATATTATTCCTTCTACGTTTATAGTCATCCATTCACAGGATGGACTTCCCTAGTGGTGCTAATTATGGCAGAAAAATATTAGTTGTATTTTGTTATCAAAGTTTTTGTGATTGTTATCTTAAAATAACTTGTTGACAACTAAAAAATGAAAAAAAAAAATAGATTAGATATTGCCTTTTTGGTGACAAATATTTAAAATAAAGCTTTTCAATTTTTGAAAGATCAATTATAAAAAAGGGTGTGCACTGATATCCAAGTAAAAATTTAATGGTCATGACTAATGTGTCTGTTGAGTGATTTTCATTTATCAATTTTCAGAAATGATGAGGTCACTGTCATGAGGTGTTTGAGAAGAATTTTTCCACATCTCATCCCATAATAAGGTTCAGCAAAATAAATGGATAGTCACTTTATCAAGAGACTAATTTAACTTGATGTTAAAAATAGTAACATTAGTTGTACTTGTTGGTTATACTTCATATTACATCACTTGATTACTTGGAGAACGAATTGTAATGGTAATTGCGATTTGCTTGTAATGTATAATTGAAATTATAATCTACAATTAAGACTAATAAAAATTGTTGTGTTATCAAACAAGCTAGAAATAATTCTAAAATCTATTCTTTAAATAAATAATTAAATATAAATAATCGGTCCTCGTGTTAGACACTTATTTTAAATTACATATAACATTTATTTATTTATCGGTTTGTTAAATATTTAGATCGTCTTCCTCAGAGGAAGAGCCAGTGTACGTACGATCAGAAAATGATAATTTATTTTCCTCTTTTATAACACTGTTTCCATTTCCACCATCACTATCAATCCCCATGTCTGATCCACTTCCGCTACTGATGGATTCTTCTGATTCGCTATGTTTATTGTAAATTCTCGTGTCATCCATAATTGAACTATAATAACCATCGTGATTGTTGCTTATTTTATCATTGACACCAGCGTGGTTCTTTCGTTGCTGGCGAAGTTCTTTTCTTATGGATTCCCTTCCCTTCTGAATTGCACGTTCTATTTTAAGACGGTTTTCGATCATATGAAGTTTTGGCCAGGTAACGCGCTGACCAATCCTGATCATCCTCTCAAGTCTCTCGGCATTAGGATCCGCTACGACATAGAAAAAATCTAGGATGGTGGTCTTTGGCCAAATAGTAATGTTTCCCTCGAATTTTTGTAACCAAATTGAACTCCAGTCTTGGTCCGCAATTCTTGGTAAGAGTTCGAGATCACGTATCCATTTTAACCATTTGCTGAGATCCAGCTTCAAATATTGTTCAGTGCTGGCGAATAGGAATCCACCCCGCCAACCCATACCTTGTCGGTGTGTCACCGGGCGACCGATTGAGCCACGTGGTGCGTAAAAGAACAAATGCACATGCGGGTTGACTTGAGAGACAATGGTGTTTTTAACATTAAAGTGCATATTGAGTTGTTGAATGGGAATATCTGTTCGAAGCGATCCATCTTTCCATCTGTGTCCATAATTGTATGGTATTATGGTGCCATCTTTCAACTTCTGCATCAACACAACAGGATTTAAAAATCCGGGTACAGCTGCACTTGCAATTACTAAGAAATTCACGCATAAAAATGTTAATTTGGAGTAGGGTCTATAATTATTATCTGATTAAAAAGACATACCTGCGGACCAAATGACGCAGTCAGGTGCTGTAATGTAGTTTAAAACTTTTGGTGGTGAATGAGGATCATATGGTATCACCGAGATGTTCAAAATTCTTCCTGTTCTCTCGTACGCTTCTTTAAATGTCAGACTCCCTTTTGTTATCCACTGCGTTTTCCTAGCCCAGTCACACGAATCAAATCGTGCACCAGTATTCCACCATCTTGGAAACCAAACATTAAATGGATCTGAGCATGCTTTTAGTCGCGTGTGCAGTTCCGGCGTCAAAACTTGTTTTAATTCTTCATCATTTCGCACGCATATCAATGCAGCAATCAAACCACCGGCACTAGTCCCCGTAAAAACTGTTGGAAGAAGATCCGCTTCAAAGAGAGCTTTGACGACTCCCAAATGAAAATAACCAAAACTGGCACCACCGCTAAGACACAATGCCGTCCTTCCGAAGTTCTCATCCGCGTTTTTAAAAAGTTTCCGCTTTTCCTTGGCAGACAGCGATTCAGTTGTAAGTGAGAATTCGAGTGATTTGATTACTAATTAAAGGTTTATTAATTAATGACTTCACATAATCGGATTGTAAAACGAATTAATGAATAATACTCACCTTCATCAATATATTGTTCGACGATTTTCTTTGTCCCGAAATACGTTTGAGAATATAACCTAGTATTTTCGAAGCCGGCAAAATTACTTTTTACACAATGGTGTAAGGCGTTTTTTAGCCTTTGAGCATTTGCACTTGACCCACTTCGCAAACTTTTTAGGTCATGTTTAACCTTTTTTATCAAGTTGTAATCATAAAAACCAAATTGTATTTGGTCTTTCCATTCATTGTATCCGAAATAAGAATCGAGCCTATTAGCAGCAGAGACCCACTGACGGTATGAATTGGCTTGACGAAGTTTTTCACGCAACAGTCTTTTCACGCCTCTCCTACATAAATTAATTTTATATGTCAATAAGGCCAACCATTTCTCAAGAATTACATTCGAAAAGCAGAACGATATATAAAAAATTACTTTGTATATGTTATATTACCATTGTACAAAATATTCCCAAATGTTTACTATTTGTCGTACTAAAACGTAAAGGAGTAATTCGCAACCAATTATAAGAAATATTATTAGCTATAAAAAAAGAAAAATAATTCTTAAGATAAAACGCGGATCAATATAACTTTAAAAGATGTCATTTTTTTTGCTTACCATCATCGGAAATCTGGCAATGTGGTATGAATAGCCTTCGAATTCTCCTAGGGGTTTTTTCTCTTTAATCTTTTGCATTATTGGCATAAAATCTGTCACAGCGGCAATGTGTTCAGTCGGATCGTTGTTGGGGTCCTCGAAAAGAGCTTTTGCGAATTCGGCAATATGTTCTTCGTTAACATATTCAAGCTCGAATTCGTTTGGAACTATCCGCTGTGTTGATTTTTTCGACTCTCCTGAAAGTTCGCTTCCCTTAAAATTCGAAATAGAAGGCATGGCAGCTGAGGTGGTTCTTCCGTATGAGGACATTATCTTTGATATTCTCTTGTGAAAGTGTAATTAAAGGTCGAAAAGTCTCTTTCAGTTTTTTAATGTAATAAAAAGATGGATCAATACGATGGCTTAGATACAGGATTAACGTAGTTTATAAGAGTTGATTGTATTCAATATATGGAAGAAAAATAAGGTAAATTCCGAATATAGGATTATTATTATTTTTTTTTTTTTCCTTGACAAGTTAGAAAGAATATATTTACAAGAGAGATACAAGTATGTTATCGGGATGGTGCATTTATGGAAACAAAGTTCAATATGTTGCTTCTCGCCCCATAACCCTAAATCATATGAGTTTCATATGCGAACATTTGTTGGGGTGTAAACTTGTTATTTTTCTATCGATGATCATTGATTGGTGGGCCCATAATAAAATGAAGATTATCTAATGCTTCATGTAATAATACGTACATGCGTTGATACCGTGGCAAAAACCCCAAAAATTGTTTAACACGAGGTGATCGCGAAATCCATTCAAAGAAATTCAATTAGCCAATTACCAACTTTTGTTGGTTTTGTTGGCTATAATTAGGATTCCCCCAAAATCAGTATTATTGTGTGCTCAGAGTAAGGACCATCCGAAATTGGAAACAAACAAAATTCTTGGATTGCGCCACAAAAATAAGTGGGGCACCGATCCAAAAAAGTTAAAATTACCGATTTTCCAATACTTACCTGATTTTTTTCCAACAAGTAATAAATTGTTTAGATTAAAACAATATGGAAAAAAAAAAAAATTTTTTTTTCCGAGCTAACCAGAATAAAAAAATATGCTGAAATCTCAAAAACACGCCGTATTTCGATGTACGATATACAGATTCTAATATCGCATCAATATACAGAATTAGCATTGATATCAATGATGATTTTCATCGTAAAAATATCGATCAAAAAATTATACATTACGTATACAATATATGATTAATTAAAAAAAATCGAAATACATGATATAATTTTAATAATTTAAAAAAAATAATTGATTTTACACTAACCAAATGATTGCTGAAGTTGATATTTAACTCATTGTATTTCACATACAAGAGATGTGGTTTTCTTCAAGATGTACAGCATATCATGCAATATACAAATAAATAAAGAATTATTAAAAAAAAAAATAATAATAATATATTATAATATTGATTTTATTTTAATGCTTTAAAAATTAATTTTAAGAGTTTTATAATAAAATAAAAATTATCTTTTATTATTTAAATTATTTAAATATTATTTATTATATTTACAGAGAATTCTTCCGAAATATACAGTATACTTTATTATAAGCATTTAAAGATATATAAAAATTATACTGTATTATATTATATTTATATACTGTATATCGGTATTTATAATATATATCATTAACTAAAATACTCATTTACATAAGTACGTTATATTAAACTAATGAATATTTACTAATCTTTGTTTTTTTTTGCCTCTAAATACGTTTGCAAGTTCTATAATAATTTATTATTATCAGAAATCTTATAGACAATATTTTCATCAGGAAACTTTACAGCGGAGGTTCAAATAATCTTGACATTGTTTAATACTTCTACTGCGAGACTATATGAGCTCGAACAAATTCTTCAAAACTACCATAACGATCTTGGTAGAGTCGCAATAAAAATTAAAATCAATCAATAGAGCTATCTCGATGTTCAAAAACGAATCGGTCGATGCTATGCCATTAACCAGGTACAAAGTGTCATTTCTCCCGAAATAAGGATCAGGCATATTGAGGAAGCAGAACTTCGAGATAATGACTCAACAACAAAGAGATGCAAGCCAATCAATCATATTCAGATATTACTTCGGCAATTTGGAATCAGCTTAAAGTTATTTTGATAGAATTGTGGCAGAAAAGGCGTATTATTTAGATGATATGTGTGGTATTGTGGCGTTGATATTCTTAATATTGGGGTGGGAAAGCTTAGTAGAGATATTATCCGTAAAATTAATGATTTAAAAGGTAGTAGCTTAGGTAAAAAATAGGTGCTTGGATTGATGGCAAAACAGTTAATAGTGAGAAGGAACTCTCATTTTATGGGTTAGGGCTCGAGATTTTTCATCTTTTAAACTCACTGCTTTATTATATTCATTTTTGGTTTTATCAATCAACGAATAAAGACTATATCTATTTAAGAAATATGTTGGCTTTTTCCGAATATAGTATTCTAATGTATGAGACTGAAAGGTTACAGTATGTTTTGCTGGGTGATATACAAATACATTGGTATCCAAGACTTCATTAGCTTCCTCATGATTATTAAAAAATTTCTGAAATGACATATAGTCGATTTCTTGATTGGAATCCAACAAAGCCTTGATAGCACCCTTTCCTGCTTCGTAATATGATTGATCTTGAAGTTTTGCAGAATCAAAATTCTTCCTAATTTCGGTTTATTTTTGTTGCTTGATCTCTGCAAAAAAAAGTAAATATAAAAATTTCATTCGATGCAAAATATCGAAATCGATTATACCTTCAAAGGACTGTTTAGTAAGAAGGAAATTATCAACTAATTCGTATAATTTCTCTGCTTCTGTGGTATTGATCCTGTCTCCTTTTACGGTCTTGATCCCACACTTATTGACTTGATAATCCATTGATTTCTCCTATTAAGATGCCGATTTCAACCTCTGGTTTTTTATACGTGACAAGCACTTCGTGCTAGAGACAATAATATTGATTCATAAATATGACTGTAAGAAAGTCAAAAAAAAACATTGCTAGAACTTACACCGCATTCTTCGAGGAACACTTCCTTCGCTACTGACAAACACTGCGATGTACTTTCTGCCATCGGCATTCTTTTTAGCGTCATCTTGAAGAACATCAAGAATTTTTGGATTCTCGTTAACTATTTGACTGATGTTGTCATAAACAATAGCCGGTGGTTTTCCGTATTTCTTTTTGTATACAGCAGAAGCACGATTAAAGGCATCCATAGCTCTTACCCACTTGGGATCCTTTAATTCATCTATAAAAAAGAGAATCTGGATCAAAAAATTCAATATACTGTATCAACAATGAAAATCTTACTTTTGGTTGTACCAAGATTTTTGTGCAAGTTGTCCTGTAAAAGAAATCTGTTCCTCGAATGTAAAATTAAGGTCACTTCCAAATTCGTCACCAAACTTATCAAGTTTTCTGGAACATTAACGTATATAACTCCATGCCCAATTCCACTCGATGTAATCCTTGTCAGCGTAGTTTTCTCAGTTCCATGTTTCACCACAAATCATGTAATAAAACGATTGACCTTCATAGGGTAGAAAAATTCTTTTAAGGCATTCTAAAATTTCAGGTCGAGGTACAAACTTATCATTTGAAATTCCGTTCCAGGTCGAGTCCCTTTTCCACTGTTTCGTTGAGAAGACGTTTTTTACGTCCGTTTCGGTACCAAGCATGTAGAAGGTCCATTGATATAAGACCAATATGGCCGATTACAACTATATTTGCCGATATAGCAGTCTACAAATAACGCATAACAAGCAACAATAAATTAAAAACCGGAAGCTGTTTTACAATGTATTTTGTAAATTAGTTCGGGTAGGAACAATGTAGACTCTTGGGAGACGTGTGGGGGGAGGGTGAGGAGTTGCATAAGGTCTCAAGTTCCTCAACATAAGACTCGGCGACTGAAGGAGTCGTACTCGACGGTTAACGAAGGGAGTTAGAAAAATGGTCCCACGAAAGTGTTGAGTTATTTTGGAGGAAGACATTATTGAAGAAATCCAATCCGCACTAAAATAAATCCAGAATTTAAAGTTTTGGATTTACTTAATAATGCCCAATCCTCGATGTTCTGGAATAACTACATATGGATCTTCATAATACCAAGAATACCTTAAAGCAATCCAGTTTTCTTCGCACAATTCTTTCTTGAGTTAATCCCGCTGTTGTTGTTTAATAAAATTAATGGGATCACCACCAATATATTTTTCATGCTGCACTCTTTGTACTTCAACTGCAAAACCATATTCAGGATGAATTATATCGAGTTCTAAACACGTGGAATATTCTAGTATTAAGATATTGGGACGACGTACCTTGATGGCAGTCCAAGATATTTTGACACAATTTCGCGACATGATTTTCGTATTTATTTAGTCAAATTTAAAAGCATTAGGTGTTGTATGTTATATAAAGTATGTCCTTTAACACATTTTCATAATAGATTTAAATAGTTATTAAAATATGAGGTAGAGACACTCATCATTCCGGCTATATGCAATTTGCTTGGCTTGATCAATATCATGAGCATATTATATAGAACATTGGGAACGCCATGAAATTGCATTTTTAATACTATTAAATGTTTCATTTCATTCATGTCTTTAGAAAAATGCCACAATAAAGTTGTCATGCTATTAATAGATTTTTCAGAAAGACATTCCCGTTTCTACTATGTGCAATTTCTCTAGCATTTTCAAGAGTAAACACTTCGGCCTACACAATATGGACACCAAGTATTATTATTTTTTACATTATTGAGACAAAAATTCCATTCATTCCCCCACAGCACGGCGCCATAATAATATTGACTTGTGTTAATAAATTTTCAGGCATTCTCCATTTTTATTATGTGCGATTTTATAGCATCTTCGAGGGTACAAGATTTTCTATGGGAACATTTTATGCATCAATTTTACCATGTATAACATTGTTTATAGCTTTACATTGGATAGTAAAGCATAAATAATCTCTGCTTATAGCAATATTTTAGCAATTTCAAGATGAAAAGAATGCTGACCTTAACAAACAGGACACCAAGTGTTCTTATATTCTATTATATCAAGTGGAGCATTCCATTTATGATCTTTAGAACATTTCTGTCTTAATAGTATAGAAATATTAATAAATACTGTATATCTGAAAGGCACAAGCTATTATAAGCCCTGGAAAAATTACAAGCATTATTTATGGTTATATATAATCATATTAAAAATTAGAAAAGTTTTATATGTATAAACCTCTATTAAAATTTTATATTACATATTTAATAGTATATGGTTATAAAATTAAATAAATCCAAATCCTTAAATTCAATATAGATTATATATAAATTTCATAAACACTACAAATTGATTATATAAAATAAATATCTTAATAAATCAAATAAAATCAATTTTACTTATATTAAATAAAATAAATATAAAATGATACAAATTTATAATAATAGATCTTTATAAAAAATTATTTTCTTCTCTATAATTTTAAAATATTTTTAAAGTAAAGATGTAATAATTTGATTTAAAAATTTATCTATTATTATAAATAAACACAAAATTAGTTATTCTTGATATATTCAATTATTTAAACAATTACTCAAAAATAAAGTTTCTATTGTAGAAGCTACATATAAACTTATAGAAAAATTATAAAAACTACAATATATTAATTTTTTTTATTATATTAATATATTAATTAGCTCTATTATAATTAAAAATAAAATATATCTTAAAAATTAAAATAATTAAAAAAAATAATTATAATACAAATAATTCTTTTTTTTTTTAATCACAAACAGATATTAAATACAAAACATTTATTAAACTTTAATTTATAATTATTACATTAACAATCTTTATATACAAAGTAAATAAGTTAATTGTAGCCTATTGCAACTTTTACCTTTAATATACATTGTCATCAAGTAAATATTTATATATTAAAGGTAAAGATAATTCAAGTTTCTTTTTTTTATTTATTTATAAAATATAAAATATAAATCAAATTATTTATATAATTTAAAGATATATAATAATATAATATTGATAACTTTATAATTTTTAAACATATTAATAATTATTAAAATAATAAACATATAATATTAAATATTAAAAAAACTAAAATATTATTATTAATATTTTTTAATATTTTGAATTAAAATTAATTTTTAAATAGTAAATAATTCTATCTAATTTTTAAATCTTTCTAAAATTTTTTTTCAATATTAAATTAAACTATTTTTATAATAAAAATATATTATATATCTATTATATATAATATATTTGTTTTATAACTAATTTATTTTTATTTGTTTTTAATTAATATATAATATTGTTTGTTTTTTTTATTATTTTAATAATTGTATTAATATTATACTATATACAATACTTGTTAAATATTGGGTACAAGTCGAGCTTTGAATATGTTTTCTACACAAATCTAATTATTTAGACCAAATCAGTCTAAATAATTAGATTTGTGTAGAAAACATATTCAAAGCTCTAAAAATTAAAAATTAATAAAATATTAAAGTTTTTTATACAAGTCTATTAAAACTATTGTCTTTATTTATAATACAATTAAAATTTTTTAAAGATAATTAAAAAGAAAGAAAGTTTATTTATTTAATAAAAAAAATTAAGATTTATATTATTTTTAAAAAGACATTATATATATATTTATTATATAATTTTAAAATAAAAAAAAATATAAATAAACTAAATATACAGTATATAAAAAAATTATTTAAAAAGTTAATTTAATAGTATTATTTATAATTAACTATACTGTTTAATTTTTAAAAATTTTATTAATCAAAAAATTTTAAAAATACTTTTTAAAGTATTTTTTTAAAATTTTATTTTCAAAAACTTCAAATTAAAAAACATGTTAATATTTATTAATAATTTTTTTTCAAGTTATAATTTTTTGCAATTGTTGTTTTATTTAACTAATAATTAATTTAAAATCTTTTTCTTTAACTTTTTTTAAAATAAAAATAAATTTCTTAATTTTTTTAGATGTTTTATTTTTTTTTGTTTTTTCTAAGATACTGATCTAACTTTTAATATAATATATTTTTGAAATATTTTATTTATTAGACAAAATATCAAATTACATTAAAAAAAATTATACTTTTAAATTTATAATTTTAACTAAAAACTATTTAATATTAATAAAAAAATTAATTAAATTATTCTAATTATTAAATTTGATATTACACAAAAAATACAAAAAATATTTTATGTTATATTTTTGTTATTAAAAATCCAATAATCAAAAATCTTGTTTAATTATTATTTGAAAATTTCAATATAATTAAAAATTTGAAATTAAATTAAAATAAACAAAATTTCTCAAAAAATTTTTTAAAAAGCTATATATTATGAAAAAAAGTTTTAATAAAATAATTTAATAATATTTTTTTATAATTATTTATTATAGACTTTACAGATATATATTTTATAGTTTTTTTATTAAAATTATAAAAAAATTTTTTTAAAAAAAAACCATTGTTTCAAAAAAAATTTAATATTAAAAAAAATAAAAAATAAAATCTTTTTTCACAAAAATTGTAAATTTTTAAAAAAATATTATTTTTTTGATAATTTTAAGAATATCCAAAGATAAAACTAATTTTTAATAACAAAAAATATTAAACAAATATATATAATTAAATATAAAAGCAATAATCTTCTCGAGTATATTTGTTATTAACAATTCTCTTACTTTTTTACTTCTTTTTTCTTTAAATAGACAAAATAAAAACTTTATTATATAAAAAAAATTATACAAAGAAATCAATTTATAGTAGTTGATCACATTTTTGTTGAAAAATTTCCTTAAAAGAAAGTTTTTTCAAAAACAACGAGAAGTGAAGTTTTTATTTCCAAAGACTTAAACACAATAAATATTACTATGGAGATAAGTCTCCCCTACAGTGTCAAATTCAAATACTCTGAACCAACTGAACAGTTGAACCAAATAAAAGAACTCTTCTCCAAATGGATAGAAAGGGCTTCTTCGATCGGTTTTAGTATCTCTAAATGACAAGTTCTTACCTCCCAACCAAACCCAGGCTTTTCAAAAAAGAAAAGGAAAAGACGACCTAGAAAGAGAAAGTCTCAGGAAGGAAAGAAACTGGAAACAGAAGTAAATAAACAACCTTTATCTAAGTAACCCATATCTGCCAAGACATATTAGTATACAGAATGTGAAGAAAACTTTATTAGTTCTTTTACAAGAACAATGTATTATAATACTGTTCATAAAACAAAAAGTATGGAGGTGGATAGGGTTAAAACTTTGGAAAAACCAATACAAGAAGTCATTACCAATAGCGAAAGAATTGCAACTACTGCCAGTAGCGATAATAACAACAATAGCAACAAGAGGCTCAAACATGTGTCATATATGGAAAGGGATAATAACAATAACAACAATAACAAGGAATTCAATCATGTGTTTCATGTGAAAAGGGCCGATCTCAATGAACAACAGTTTAAAAACCTGATTAAATCTGCAGGAGACAAACTGGGAAATTACCAAATCTTTCTTTATGGGAGAGCACCAATAGAAATTAACGATTATTCACCTGAAAATGGTCTTTATAATTTAACCATATGAGGATACAAAACTAAATGCAAATCTGGGATAGGAAAAATCGATAAAATACTTAGGGAGGGAACAAATTTGACACTTTCAGATACTTGATTTAAGGTAGCTAATTGTTTCTTTTTTTAATACAAGAGATATAAAAGAGAAGGAACAAAACTATAAATATATAACAGATTGATTAAATAGCAAATAAAAAAGAGAAAATAGAATCGAACAAATCAAGCTAAGGTAGGTTTGGATAGTAAGCAAGGTGGCAGGCTACATCTGAATGGTTTATAGGACCTATAAGTGGATTCTAGTTAATATAAAATAATATAGATTAAACTTTATATATGTATTTGTATGTAAAAAACTAACTATATTAATAAACTAG